TTCAAGAGAAAACTCTGTTTTTTTTAAATGGCTGCTTTTTAATTAATCGTTAATCTATAAGATAAATCAACTTCAGATTAATTCATTTATCAATAACTTGCATCCTTAAGGAGTTAACTTAATTTATTTCTACTTAAACTCATATAATTAAGTGTTTTAATGATTTGGCAGATTAATGGATTATTAAAATAATCGTTAGTTGCGGCCCTACTGCTGAGTCAGCACTCACCACGTGCTCGATGCCGCTGTACTCGCCCTCCGTGTTCTCCCGGATGGTGACCAGGTCGACGTCGGTGTACGGCGTCTTGTAGCCTTCGATGGAGACGCAGGGCCGCACGTTGGCGTAAAGGTCAAAGGTCTTCCTGAGCAGCAGGTTCATGGAGGGATGGCCAGCAGCGATGGGCGTCTTCAGGGGTCCTGCAAGGGGAGACCACGACACCGATGAGCCGACAGCTCCCAGAGGACGAGCAGCAGCTCAGGACCACTACACTGACCTTTCAGGCCGATTTTGCTCCTGTCCATGGACTCTTTGGCATCAGGAGGGATCATCCACTTCCCGCCGGGTCCTTTGATCGCCGTGACGTTCCGCTCCTCCCATCTGATGGGCGCCTGCAGGACAAACTGTCATCAGCTGACAGGAGTTGGGTTTCTGCTCTCYGGTGGGATCAAACTCACTTTAGCTGCATCAAAGATCTTCATAACAGCAGCAGAGATCTCTGGACCGATCCCATCTCCAGGAATCATAGTGACGGTCTGCATCTACATGAAAACATACAGATCATAACACAGCATCGCTCAGATCTACAGAGAACATGTTGGACAGCGTCAGGTTCAGCTTCCTGTCCCTGAAGGACTCACCCCTCTGGAGAAGGAGGCAGAAAGCAGAGCAGGTCTTCTCGTGGCCACGCCCAGCACCTGGCTCACCTGAAAGGAACAACACAGGCTCAGGGTCAGGCTGACACCTGCTTCAGCTGCTGGACTGAACTGAAACCAAACTAAACAGGTCTGAACTCATCAGTTCCCCTGAAACCACCTTCACAGGTGGTCCGGACCCATTTCTACACATATCTGAGCCCAGACCGTCCTGAGCCGAGCTGCAGGACCTCCTACAGAACCAATGTGACTCAGCAACATTACCTGCATGTCAGGTTTAACAAATAAAATTAAATATGTCCAAGCAGTCAGCTGATAAAATAAATGTAAACAATGACRCTAATACTAACCAACAGGTGTGAACAATGTGAACACTATTAATGAATAACACATCAGAACTGCAGCAGCAGCAGAAACACAAAGTTTGCTTCCACCTAGGGTTGGCTATAATCGTATCGTGTGCAATCAATCATCAGAAAAAACATTAATCGATTACTTTTTTGGCACTTGATGATTAATACGATTAATGCCACCATCAGTCCGCTCAGTGCTCCTCTCTGATTTCAAATATGACGAACATTAAAAATAAAGCTCTGTAATTTATTTATCAACACAATTTCAAATATGATGTATAGACTGAAATGTGTAATTTTCACATTTTCACAAAACACTTTTTTTTTATAAAAAGCAAATCTTTCCCACTAAACTGGTCATGTGACAGGACATGAGGGTGTCCAGGGACTCCAGGGGATTAATCGTCAAATTAATCGTTATCGGCTAAATACCACAATTAATCATGAGTAATTTTTTTGCCAATATTGCCCAACCCTACTTCCACCCTTCATTCATTTATAATTTTTATTCATTTCTTAAAAAACATAAATTTAATGTACAATGAAAATACAAATCATTAATTAAACAAAAGGCAGCAGAAGAAGAAAAAAATTAATTCATTTATGTTTCAGAAAGACAAAGTTATTTAGTTTTATCATTCCTAACGTATCATGTGTACTGTTTCATTGGAAGTCAGGTTTTTATTAAAGGGATCTATGATTAGTTGTAACATTAGACTTTATTTGATAAACATTTATTTTAACTGTAAAATAA